ACGCCGATGAATTTCATTGACTTCATTGGTCGAATTAAGGAGAGCTGTGGCGGCAGGCAATAACTTTCATGAATAAGAGGATAGGCGGCGTCATATCGTTGCCGAGACCAGCTATTAATTACCCTAGGCGGGATCGATGATACGTCGGAATGAGATTACTCGAACGAGTTTAGTCTCCACTAAGCGAGGCACAATCGTTCGTGTCCGTAGCAAGATGGAATTATTTACGGTTTTCCTCATCGCCGTGAAATAATTTTCAATTCGCGCAAGTTTTCGTCAAATTTGTTGCAGGCATTAATCGCACATCGCCGTGTTTGTGCATTTATATGAAATTAAAGAATTAAAAAGTTTTTGGCAGGGATGGTGGAACACTTTGTCGTGATGACTGCCATATATGTATTATATCTTGAAACAACGCTCAACTAATTCCATTTTTAACACGAATATGTGAGAACAAACGAATGTGTAAAAAAATTCTTTCCATCTGAATTTGAGGCGAATTGAGAGGCACGATATCTATCTTAACTGTAATATTTTTCTGGCAAATAATAATTTCACTCTGTACGCACATATAGCAAGGATAAATTGCTCAATTTAAAAACTTGACAAATATAATATCACGTATTCTTGCAAGTTGGTCTCCGATTCTCTTCTTGAGTACTTTGCTTGTACCTCGAATTAAGAATTTCAGACCAGATGAAAGTGGACGACCGGAAGGAGGTTATTATACATATGAAAATAAGTCGAGAGCAAACTTTTGTTGTCCATGGTTTTCTGTTTAAATATATTGAGCAACTCTACGAACGTGTATACGATTTCCTCGAAAACAAGATGTCAAACGACAAAAATAGTATCTTTAACAATTCTTAATTAATATGTAGCATAACCTCCTCTCCATCATCTATTCCGGCAGTGTACAAGAATCAAGACGAAGTTGCGACGAGGAAAGAGAATAAGCAGAGAGACGAACCTCGTAAAAGATCCACGTGGAGAATAGCGTTTGCACCAGGTTGTACGTTATCAGGATTCCCCGGAGTTTGAAAGGCTTTTTATTCTCCATTATCCTCGGTCCCAAAACCTTGCTGAAATAAGCGTAAAATAGGCATATCGCCATCGTTGGAAGAGGACTGCTCATCATCATCCAATGGTTCACCCTGGGATCTAGAATCAGAATATAACCACCAGTTAGAACCAACGACAGTCTCGCGAAATTCAATTAGTTTTCAAACGACCTCTCTTTTATAATATTATCTGACCCTCGTAAATACGAGCCACGTTTGTTTTCTTTTCATTTCGTTAATTAAATCGGCAAAACAGGGTTAGGCTAATTAATATCGCAATAATTCGATGGTAATGGATCATTAACGACGGATTCTTCAAATCAACTCTGAAATTATCACTAAAATGGCCATCGAAACGTGGCCAATTTGTATTTTATTAATTTTCGTATCTTATAGACGTGAAGCAGCGTATTTTTATAGATTTAGATGATTTCTTGCAGAGTATGCAAATGAAAACTTGTACACTTCGTTGTGTCGTAAAGTTTCTCTACTTTTTTTCACTTCAATCTCCCTGATGAAGATTTTATGCTTTAATCGTCGGAAGGCCTGTCTAAAAAAAAGGCATTTACGATACACACAATTAGAAACTAGATGTTTGCATTAAACGAATCAGAGTTTAATCTACGTAATTTTTTGGAAGTCACGTATAGAGAAACATGCTTCGTTCAATCAATAAAACGTTTGTCACTTTAAGAATCGTTCACCTGTAACATTCGAGCTACCGTCTACAAGTATTTGATGACTCGATGGCATGCTTTTATTCGTGTTAAATATCATTTTTGTCAATATTTAGTACATGCATATACATTGGTAATATATTTCGTACATTAACCTTGTAACGAGGACACATATAAAACTGAATGTGTAATGCTAAAGACGAGTTTGAATTCTTAATTCAAAAATCACGAAACGCAGAAATAAGCGCGAAATTCGCGTTCACTTTGTTACTAGTGGCTATCGCTAATTAAAATCGTGCTCGCCTTGACAACAACGTTAAAATTATCGTGTTTAATTATCGAATCTTCAACCCGGCGATTCTCTAACCACCGGCGAATGGAAAATAAGCAATCGTTGTATTTCTCGTTACAACATTTTTCTTCTTCTTCCTTTTATCCCCCCCCCTCCCCACCCCTCTCTGGCAACTTTGTGCATTATCGTCACGGTACGATAAAACACGTTATGATGATTTTCCTGTCATTAAGCGACAATAAAGTGGCCGGCTTCCCGGTTCGTTAGCC